AGTCTCAGAAGAAGCATTTGTATTATCCAAGCTCAGCATTAGAGGGACACGCGGTTTGGAAGACACTGTTTCCATCCGATTGCTCTCAGTAGTAATCTCAGCTCCAGACGTCGCAACACGTTCAGAAATGCTGTTCACTCTGTGTAGCAGATCATTTGCTGCTCCAGGTTCATTTCGTGAAGCAGTTTGTAAATGATCCACGCTTTTTGGAAGATGAGGAACTTCAGCTTGCACTCTGAATTCTTTGGGGTCTTCATGCTTCAGAGAGTTTTCCAAAGTAGATACCTCTTGATCCTTATAATCTGATGGAATTTCTGATTCCCAGCTCTTCATGATTTCTAAGGATTTTGGAGGCACTATTTTATAAGTAGTCATTCCAATTTTTGGTATGTAATCTCTTGTAATTTCATTAGCAGGCTTGGGTTTAGGTTTGGTGTCCTGTCTATAAAGAGGGTAACCTTTTACAGGAGAGTCATCTGGAGTTTTTGCAGTTGTTTCTGGTGAAGCAAAATTGCTGCCATTTATACAAATATCACCTTGTTCTTTAATGGGAATTACTTTTTCATGGCTAATTTCTTGTCTCTCAAGGTTTCGGTCTGTTGAAGTATCTTCATCCTCTTTTATTCCATGCATCACTTGAAGAAGGGGGTTGTTTGTGTCTGTATTGTGTTTTGGGACCAGTCCTTTGAATGTGGATGATTCACGACCTTGAGGAACAATAATTTCTTTCTGTGTAGTCCTTCCCAAATTGCTATCCAATGGACCTGTCTGGATTGCAACATCCTGAGTTTTTACCGTGTCCAAGCTGGTTTGATTTGTTTTCTGATCTTGCTTTTCTGGAATCAGTTGAGGATAATTCCTATGACTTACAGAGATGTCATTTTTGCACGCCTGGCAGTTTGATAGTCTGTCAACTTCAAGCTTGTTATTTTCTCTAAAATCTACTGTTTTAATTTCGTCTGTCTGAAGTTCTTTCTCTTCTGTTGTTGGAAGGAGTTTTGTATCACTGTGATCTTTTAAGTGAAAGAAAGATTTCAAAATTAATACAAATGCCAAAAGGATTCAACCTTCCCCCTTATATCATGAAGCCCTACATCCAATGTATTTAACTACAAGAACTGTCTCCTCAGTGATATTAAAATTTTACTTAACACTTACTTTCAAAGGCTATTTAAAGATATATTTTACAAATATTGCCAAATAATAGTATTCTAACTCAGGTATTCTTCCTTAATTAACAAGCTACTGGTGCCATGCATCAACTTAATAGAAAAATCTATTCTAGAATAATTTAAAAAGTGCTAATGAATTTCAGTTGATTATATAGGCATCAGTGACTCAAGGACTATTCAATATTAAGTTAGGCACAATTTTAATTTAGTTCCACACTTCTATAGCTTCTGATCTTTAGTTTTAACATTACAAATGTTATTTGTCAACTATACGTTATATATTTGTACAAGCAACTGGAAAACATATAGACAAAAGCAATTTTCCAACTCTATTTTTCCAACTGTTTAGCAGGTCTGGTAATTCAATTTTTTGACCCCTGGACTAAACACATGTAGATCTCTCCAAAACACAGGAAATTTTCAGTCAAATTGTTTAAAATACAATATTGGGAAAAATTAAAATCTTTTGGAATAATAATAATGTGGGGTGGTATTTTGAAAAAAAAAAAAAAAAAGAAAGAAGAAAATCTCTCCTCATTTCAAGTATGTTAAATGGTAGTTAAACAGTAGTTAAACTTAAGTCACATATAAACAGGACTCATGCAGTATGTTGTTATGATTTATAAAAAGAGGTATACTGAATATAAAAGACTATGGAAGGCCTAATATATAAATCTGAAAATCAGTGTCACAAAAGGGTAAAATAAATCAATCAAGTCACTAAATCCACGGAAAAATTTATGATCCTATCAGATGCACAGGATGTCGTCATTTCTTTTCAAATCAGCCTATCACTTTGTTCTATTTGTATTTAAAAATATTTCCATTTTTATGCAGAAAACTTGTGTTAATTTCATAAGCAAAGAACAACTGATGGCCTTTTCACCCGTACTGCCCTACAACAGCGTGATGCAGCTTTCACTACTGCTATAGGAAGTAATAAAAAAATATTAAAAATAAAAAATCCAAACCCCAAGAACTGCAGTCAATTATTGTTACCTCATCTCAAAGAGGATACACCAGAGCTAGAGAAAGTATAAAGAAAATAATTGAATTATAGCAATTAAAGAGTTAACTGTATTGTCATTTTTTTAAAAGAATAGGAAAGTTCTCTTCAACCTTGTTTTGCAGTATTAAAAATGAGTGGGAACTACTCACCATCATTTTTGTTTTGATCCAAAATTCTAAGCTTCCTGTCTTTTTCAAATGCAGCTTGCTCACTGCTTATCTTAGGCTGTAGTCCTCTGCAAAGCACAACAGTACATTAAATATGCTGGTATCATTCATTTCAGTAAACACAAGAAACGACGCAAGAGAACTGGCAATATTCTCCAAACACAGATGGACAAAATAGAATCACTCTGCCAAACACTGGAGTATTCAGCAGAATAGATTATTTTATTTTTTTAAAAAACAAGAGGAAATGCTGCTATGATATTTTACCAGTGACATGCAGCTTCACTCTCTTCTGTGTAAGCAGATGATCAGTTTTCCTTGCCTTTCTTCCCCTCCTTTTGTTTACTTATGCCGTTTGAACAAGTCCCTTTTCCAGTAACAACTCAGTTTCAGTGCAGCCACAAAGGTGATGGTTTATCATTCATATTACAGTGTTCTTAGCACGAAGCATTCTGACAGCCCCAATATTTAAAACATATCCTTGATTTTCACCCCAACATGGTATCCAGGAAGCTGCATGAGACACTGACTGCATATGAACATATGAACTGTGCAGTACAGACTTTTCACAATAGTAATAAAAAATTTTCTGTCCCTTTCAAGAAATACCTTGAGAACAACAAACAAATAGGCATCAAACATGTTATTTGTATACTAAACATTTTGAAAATCCATACGATTTCTTTTCTCGGATCACAGTGGACAGAAGAACTGCACAACTGCTGGAAAACCCCCTCATCTTTTATGAGGGGATAATTAAGTACTTGACTTTAAAAAAGTAAATTAAAAGGGCCAAAATATTAAAAATCTCTAGAACTTCACTAGAACTTCAAATTTATATCTCTGTTCAAGATACTGTTTGGTTGGGCTTTTTTGTAGTTACAAATACTGGCATTATGAGGATTCCAATTCATTTGCCACTTCAAATGTATTACTTGTCAGGAATCAGTGACTTCAGTGGAAGCATCTGCTTTGAATCATTTAAAATTACAAATTCCTCAATGACCATCCATTCTCATGCTGCCTGTACAGTCCAAAATATACTGTAAGTGTCCAATAAACCACTAAACAGAAGCATATGCTCTCTAAATTATTGTTGGAAGAAAGTTAAAGCTCAGTCCTGCACTCTGTACTCTTGTTTATCTCCATTCCCTTGAACACAGCTGACTGAATAACAAGTATTCACAACAGGTTGAACAGTTTTAAAGAAAAAAGCCAAAACCCAAGAGCCACAGAACACCACAGAATATCAGTACAGAAATCAGTGGTTTTGACTGGAATATTACACATACCCCTGGTTTGATTAAAAAGCATTTCTTCAAATAAATAAATCTTATATAGAAGATCTGAATTATCAAAAGGTTTCCAGAAATATAATGTCAAAGAAACCCTAGTCTTCATTCTGGAATCCCTGTGATATTTCGGGAAAGAAAGGATTGCCAAACTCTAAAGTTAGAGCACAGTGCATGCTAGATGATACTCACCAGGATTATAGGCCACGAAAGGCTATTACAAGTTAGTGGAGGGTAAAAAGAAACATCTCCAGGACAATTGGCCAAACTGGCCCAATAACACAGGTTTGATCATTTGCAAGTTCAAGACAAGTAAAAAATAACATTTGACTGATCCTCCTCCTCGTAGATTGCCAGAGAGGAGACACACCCAAGCAACTGGCACAGTATTTGTCAGGACCAAAGATTTTTGCAAAGCCACATTTGGCCTTGGACTGACAAAAAAGGCCCTTGAAAAGCAAGTCAAAGCTCTCCATACTACCTTGAAAGTTCTTGGCTGCTACAGCATTTTGGCTTCAGTACAATAATTGAAATAGTTCTTTCAATTTAAATTGGGAACAGTAGCCAGTTTGGTTGCCCCAGGGAACAGAGAAATAGTGAATTACATTAACACAATGGGACTTCTCTGGACAATCAACATTTATTTCAAGCAGGCACTAACTCATGTTGGAAACCTGCTGAGTCAGGTAGTTTAACAAACATGCTGAAGGGCAAAGGTACAGCATCACCAGAAGGGAAAAAGAGCAGTTAAGAAAACTAATGCGTTTATTCTTTAAAAAGAAAGAATTAACTTGTTTTCCTGAGAGCAGTTGGATTGAGACAGGTCAAGACAACTGGCTAGCACACATAAGGAAAAGACAAAAGAAAAATTAAAACCAAAAGAAATATGCAAGCAATAGATAACTGTGCTCAGAAGAACAGAAATGGCAAATCTACCTGCTTTTCCTCAACTGTAAGAATGAATTTGTAAATTCTCATTTAACTAATGAATTCAATTTTTTTTGCGGCGCACCACTGGTATGGTGGGTATGCTGGGTGTTTTAGAGACGGGTTCAACTTTTCTGGGGTTCGGCTCTTCAAGTAGTAAGGAAAGGGAGGCTTAAACAGAATAGACTGCAGAACACTTTGTCATTTTTGTTGAAAAGCTTCATGAATTACTGTGCTCAGAAGAGTTCTACAATGAAAGCTAAGCATATTAAGCTCATTCCTCTCTCACAATTCTCTATTCTGTGCTCCACAATGAAACAGCACTCTACGTTTTATTTGCCTCCCCCATTCCCTCCCTAATGCTCCTTTCTTTGTCACAAAACGTACTTACTTGCCATCTGTGCTCATATTTTCTTGTTTTTCTTCCTTGAAGCTTTGCGAGTTGTCTACAGAAACACTGCCAGGAACTGGAGCTGATGAAGCAGGATTATTTTTTTCAGTTTCCAGTTGCACCTCAGCAGAGCTCAAGGCTGCAGAAACCTCTCCTGTCCTGAGACAGGTATTTGTACTTTCACTGTCCTCTCTCTGTTGCATACTCATCTCTTCCCGTTCATCAATTTCTTCCAGGTTGTATTCTGTGCTCCTTACACCTACACTCACAATAAGAAAAAAAAAAAAAAATAGAGCAAAACGAAATAATCCACAAATCTCAATGCAGGGTGTAGATACAAAGGGACTTCTCAAGAAGGAAAACCAAGGAGACTTTTCTTCATAATTCAGGAAACAAAAAAACAAAACCCCACAACTAATTCAGAGTTTTAACTACACAGTATTTTCCAGTTCTTTCCAATTATCTTTTTACTTGTGAAACTACACTCATCTCCATGCTACAGTCCATTTGTGCATCTGTAACTACTGAATAACATTTTCCTTGTTTAACTGAAGTACTGTACTAGGATAGATCAAAATATATTTAACAATATCATACTCCAAAATTTCATTGAGGCAGTCTATTTTACCTAGATTTCTTAATGCTTCCATTAGCTCTCCAATGAGGCTTAAAATACACACTTCCTTTATATCCTTTATATCTCTTATATCATATATAGGTATGTTAGAAAACTTAAGAGTAAACCAAATCTCAGTTTTGCCCTGGTTTGAACAAGTTTTCTCACCACTATCAAAAATTTCCCATAATTATCCTGCTTATTAAAATATAGTTAGAAGTGTCTTATGCAGTGGCCTGTGTTACAGTAGAAATGTACAAAAATAAAGTACATGGGAAAGTGCTAATCCATACAAATAACCAAGTTTTCAGCTAGAGCATAGTTCAACTAAAAGGTTTAGCTACTGGATTAGGCCACATGTAGTTCAGTGTACCTGAAGTTAAGCTAATAAATTCACCTATTTTGATTTCCAGAGGGACTAACCATCTCCAGCTTCACTTCCCTGCCAGGAATCTTCCTACAAGATGATGATGATTCCCGTTTTTCCATTAGTAAGTAGACCATACAATTAACCTCTTGGCTTTGCAACTTGCATTCTATAACACAAAGAAAATAGTAATTCCATCTATATAATGCAATGTGGTGCCAGGGAAGGCTAGTGGCAACAACTGAGCCATATAAACAGTGACTTGACCTCTGACTCTGCCTGACCTGACCAGGGTATACCTGCCAGCTTCGTGTGTGCCAGTACCTTAGGCACAGGCTTGCACTTGGGCAGTGAGGCTTCAGACTTTTCTAAGTTGTGTCAGTATATTTCCAAGTGTAAACCAAGGCTAACAATGAAATGAAAATGAAACAATGAAATAAATAAATAAAATATAAATTATATATATATTATCTTATATTATATTAGATTATATATTTATTATATATATAAAATATATATAACAAATAAAAAAATATTGGCTTAAAGCAAGCAATATTGGAAAGTAATGGATCCCAGAGTATGAAAAAATCTCAGATTAACTTTTTTTTTTTTGTACAGACTGGTATCCTACAATGTTTCCAGTACTTTTAGAGAAGTACCCTGTTATAGAAACATAACAGAGGACTGTATATATTAGAGAAAGTCTCAGCACATAACAGAAACTTTGATTTTTCCAATAGGGTCATTAGTTAAGATTTCAGTAATACTAAAGTTACTCATTCACAGTTACAGAGCAACTACAAAAGCCAGACATTTTACTGTTTAATTCTAGTTTTTTGTATTATGTACAATATTTTTGCATTTTGTGGTTACACATTAAGTAATGTGATCAACGTGTGCCACAGCACTGAATGCAGAGGTGATTTAGATCCCCAGGGAAAGAGGGGCAAAACTGCAAAGTTGTGCAAGACAGCTCCTTCCATGCAATTTAAACATAGGTACATACCAATATCCCAGACTGGTATGAAAGGGACTCCTTAAGAATTTACTGTTAGTAAGGGCCTGCTCTTCCTTCTGCCCCTGCGCACCCCCTCCTGCCCCCAAAGCTGCTGAGACCATTCCACAGCCCATAACCAGCTCTCAAGATCACTGTCTCCTTCACTGATGAGAACTATTATGCCATTGGCCCAAGCCATCACCAGCCACAGAAACAAAGACTAAGACCTTCAGTCTAAATATTCTGTGGAAACCTGAATTATACAACAAAGCACAGCCAAGACTTCTGACAAGACAAATGGAAGCATTCTAGAGTTGCAATGGCTTTGTGCCCAGGCACTGCTGTAATCTCTGCTGCTTTTCCTCTGGAGAGAAGTATAACAAAGGCTGAGTTGTATCTATACTGATGGGATGGAAGCTTAGCTTGGGTTTGTAGGAGACATTGCTGACGTTCCTACTGCGTGAAAGTCTGTCCTTTGCTGTGCTAGAAACACTTCCAAGCTTTGGAGTGGACTAACCTGACCTACAAATGTAGAATACCAAACAAAAACAACTCTCACGCTTTTTCTACAGTGCTCTACTTCATTTGTCAGCATAATATCAGCCTTGCTTGAAGTTAATTTCAACTTGTGTTTTTTCGTCTGTTACTGGATCTCATTCCAGACCTGGACCATCACTGCTGCTGCAGAATTAACTTTGAATGCATTTGATAAACACTTGACAGCCACCCTTCATTTACATCATGCAGTTAACTCCCCAGAGGCATAGTTCTGATTTTATGACTTGTTTCCAAACCCTCAGTTTAGAGTTTTTATATGCAACATATCACTAGGAAGCACTTATGGCAATACTGGCTACATACTGTTGCCTTATTGCTTATACACTCTATATCTAAGTCCATATATGAAAGAAACTGCATTTTTGTCTGTGTAGAATTTATTCTATATGAACATTAGTCATTGAGTTTTAATTAGCCCTAAAAGAACATCATTAAAGCCTACAGGATGACATTGTGAAGACATACCTGAATAAGATGACTGAAATACCAACTGCAAGTCTCCTTTGAGTGCTTAAAAATACTCTTTGCACACCAGAGAATAGGCTGGCACTGCCATGAGCCGCTGTGTTTGTAAGCACCAACGCCAGAAAGCCTGACTGCATCATGCAAATCTGCCAGTGGCTTTGCTCTTGACTCTACATTCCTTAATGAGTTTCTTAAGAGATGCTATAACCAAGATTATATCAAGGGATTTGTTTGATAGGAAAATATTTTAAAATCTGCAATTTTTAAATTATTTTTTAAACACCACTTCACCCTCTTCCTTAGAAAAAAGACTGAGCATTTGGGAAGGGGAACAAAAATCATAATTGAGAAAAAAAAAATGTTGTTTTTAATCCCAAATGTTCAAATTAATTCCCTGTCAATGTTTATTCTAGTAGATGTGTGCCTTCAAACTACTTTTGTCAAGGTACAGTCTGTTTTTACACTATGAGAAAAATGCCATTTCACAACAGAAATGTTGCCTATTCCAAATTATAGCATAGCTCCACTTAACGTACACGTGTCTGTTAGCTATGCACTACTTTGATACTGAATTGAACATTTGTAATGGTTCGTTATAGGGCAGAAGGTAATGCTATATTTGCAGCTTAACTTCTTTTGTTTATTTGTTAAAGTAGCAATGCAGAAGAGAACTACTTTGGGAATGCCAGTCACAGCTGAGCAAAAAAATCAAAATGCTTCCAGAAGCTTGACAATCAAAGCAGTATTAATCCAAAGGGAAGGAACTACCGAGTTTATGAAAAGTTAAAATGATGCCCAATTTAGCAATTAAAGAGATACTGAACTATTTTATCCATTAAAAACAACAACACCCAAGCACGCATAATTTTCCACCTAGGAACAGGACAAGTGTACTGCAGTTGATTTTGCTGCAGGTGAATACTGGTTCTCACAGCATGATGGGCTTTGCTAAGAGGACCCTTTTTACACAGGACTCAGGGCAGTTTCAGAGATTTCACCAAAGAGCAGCAGTATCCCATGAGAAAGAGAGGAAAAAAAATGGCAATGAAGCTGTGCCATGTGACTTATCTCTGCATTTTAAAAAATGCATTACCTTAAGTCTTCAGCAAAGGACATTGCATGAAGATGGCAGCAGCAGAACTAGAGAATGAGGACTGTCGCTAACAGCGAAGGTAAATCCTACGGCTCAACACAGACTGTTCTAAGCCCACTGAAGACGGTTACATTTTTCTATTTCTTTCCATTACAACTTAAATTAAAATATTTAATTACAAAACTCAAATGCCTCAAGCATAGGTCCCTAGGTCTATGGAAAAGCAAACGAGGCATTTCTATGAAGTTCAGGGCTGTTTATCTGTGCAGGACTCAGACATTACAGTGACAGGAAATGCAGAAATTCTAGCATAGATCTATAATCTTAAGATAGAAACAAGCTAATGAAAACAAAACCCCCTTCATTTTAAATCACAGTATGATAACTTTGCTCATCATCATAGATCCATCACATAGATAAACACAGTTTTCAACACAGAAAATTAAGCACTAATAAACATCATTAAGAGCCATTCATTTAGAAGTGACTACCCTCCTTCATCTGCTGCTACAACTAGGAAAAGAAAACGCTACAGCTTCATTACCTCTTCAGCCTCAGACTGCACAGTTAGGTTCATACTTCCTATTTATTAAGTTACATATTCTTTCTATTAAAGGTCTTTTCTGACAATTTACATAAATTGCCCTAAACACAAACCGAGCCCAAATTTACTGATTACTAATCTTTTTTCTTTTCCCTCTTTACCAGAGACAGAGGATAGCAGATGACTTTTTCATCTCTTGCAGTACATTTGTGTTTTACCACTGCAACCAATTTGATTGGCATCCCATATAAAACAGCTGGAAAACTAGTTAAGAGTTCCTGTCAACTAGCACAGAAATTGAGTGTTTAGCCTCATATAATGCCAGTGGCACTCCGCATGCTTAGTGTTTATATCTTTCATTCTTGGAAGAGTGAATTGAACACTGAAGAGTGATTTTTCCAGGCTGCACTGATTATTCTAAAAGCTTTTACAAATTTTAGAAGACTTCTACGTGTCGTATCTTGTATCTGAACCCTATAGTCTGATGCTCACAAACATCAGTACTTAATAGTACAAACTGCATAAATT